GCAAACTAGTTATTTAGATTAGTTCAGACCATTTCAAAGGTTGTTTTGTGTCTAATAAGAGTGAAATCTTGTTTGTTGCCAAAAATACTAAATTATATTTATGAGACTATGTTTTCCGACTATAAGGATAAGAAGATATGTTTAATAACTGAAAATGAGATTTCGATCAATGCATACAACGTGGAAACAATCAATCAATTAACAGGACAATTCAGACAAAGATCGTTAAAAGTCTTTCGCAAGACCTTTGTAAGATCGGTCAGATGATCGTTTGTAAGATTTTAGCTATTTTGACACATAATTCTTTCAAAAAAAAGTGTTATCATTTGTAATTCGTGGTAGAAAGCTTTTTTATTCTATTTTTTTCGTGGTGAAATTAAAAACAACTGTTAATCGCTATCACATGCAAGTAAACAATTGAATTTGGATACACGTGAGATATACCTATGTTCCATTATTATAATTATATATACATAAATAATTATTTATTGAATTTAATTCATGTCATGAAAGAAATGGTAGCACCTATTACTGCATTAATACAGCAGTGGCAAAAGAATATTAATTAGTTATAAAATTATAGTTTAAATATGCAAATAAATAGATGAATAAATCAATATAAGATATATATTAATAAATATTAGATATTAAATATATATATTATATATAAATATATGAAATACATACTGTCTATCTAAAACATATACTGTCTATCTAATGTATATTGATACATTTATGAAATGAGTGCTCCATTAAACATGAATGGAACATTAAGTGTTCCATTTTTATAAAATTTAATTAATTATTAATTTTTATTTTAATTTTTATGTATTTTATTTTATCTGAAAAAAATTTAATGCACAAAAAACACAAACCAAATCTTAGCTGACGATCGAAAGACCTGATCAATAGCACACCTTTCATATGGTCCTTAGAAAGGCCAAAAAGGGCTTTCAGTCTGGCAAAAGATCGGTGCTAGAATACGAAAGATGTTTCAAACAACCTTTCGTAAGATCTGAAAGAACGTTGTAAGAATTGCTCTATAAGTATATCTCGTGCAAAAGCTGAGCCAAGATTAAAAAATTGCACCAATGTCGTTAAAAATAAAGATCATATTAATAGTTTTCTTCGATTGTAGGAGCGTGTCTTAACAAAGCAAATAATGTTAGAATTTTGTAATGTTTAAGTAAAGACAGATATTTCTTTGTTTCAGCTCCTTAACAATGCATACTGCATTGGTTTTTTGGGACCATATCGTCAAAAATTTGTTTTCTGTCGTTTCACAATCATTATTTCTGTTTAATTTAATACGGCGCAATTTCTGGGTATTTTCTAAGCTTCAGCGACCCCTCTGGCGATACCGTTTTAACACGATTAGGGAGATAAAAAACCAATCGCAGGATGCTTTGAAGGCGGTTCAGAGTTAAAAACAAGGTTTCCTTAATATAAGTGTGTTATTTAGGAAGAAAGGTACTGTGAAGACAATAAAATTGATTAAAATGCAAAAATGAAGGGTTTAAAATAATTTACAATTTATACTTCTTTTTTGATTTTAGTGTTATGTGTATTGTGATTCAAAAGTCAGAAAGATATAAAAAAAATTTATGGATTTTTAAAATATTATTTTTCAAAGAATTATAAGCAATAAAGTCTTGTTAATTTTTTAACGAAATTTTTAGTAGTATTATTTTTTTACTGTAAACAGCGCAAAAATAGGTAATTTTTTTTTTTCGGATATACTTCGTGTATAACTTTCCAATCGTGGTTTTATTGATTTTATACATTTATTATTTTACCACATTTTCAGTTCAATGTTTTATGAAGGAGTTCCAAAGTATTTTAGCAAAACAAACTTATGACATACAAACAAATATGTCTTCAAGCCTATATGGCACTATGACATCCAAATTTGGGGTTGTGCAAAAAAAAAAAATATAATGGATATGATACAAAGGTTTCAAAACAAGGCACTTAGGGATGTAGTTAACGCTCCGTGGTATGTGGGTATGTGCGAAATGCTGATCAACATCGTGGCCTTGAAATACGTACTGTCAAGCAAGAAATACAGAAGGCTGTTAAAACGCTTTATGACAGGCTGAGTCAACACTTAAATAGCACTATTCTGGCGTTAGCTTACGATGTTACATACAGACGCTTAAGTCGCTTTAAGCCAAAGGACCTTTGAGGTGTTTCAACTAGTAAGGCGATATAGCTCAGATTTATATGTTCAGTAATATTACTTGTAATATATTAAATAAAAAAATCCTCTTGTAACTCAAAGTAACTAGTTGTTGTTAATTTCAACTTTACACTTTGTTTAAATATATAAAAAAAACAAAACAAAAAATAGTTTACTGCATTTTGCACAATAATTCAAAGAATCTGCTGTATACTCTCTTTGGTATTTGCACATCGAAAGCATTTTAGCACATAAGGCAATCAAGTCCTAAAGAATGTAGCCGCATTTTGAGTGTTACCACATGAGCTAAGATATAACAAGGACATCTTCTTCTTCTTTAATTATTCATTCAAAAATTGAAGGTTATACAATCATATAAATTACAATATGTTAGAAATAATGTTTTTGAAGCTTTTTCTGTCTCTAGCAGTAAGCAACAAGGACATCACATGGTACACTGCCTTTCAGATCATATTATTGGTGTATGAAGAAAAAGGCACAACTTTTCATACATCTTTAAGCTCTAACAACGGAGCCACTTATAACACATACTAAACACGCATCATTTATCAAAACTTCGCAATCGCTCGGTGATGTGAGCAGAAAAACCAACAACATCAGCAACAACCAGGAAAATATTATTAAAACCAAAAGGAATAATATAATTCCCTAACACTTTAAATATGTTAAAATTTACACAAATTTTTCGCCTCAACGCCTACGAAAACAGTTTTCCCCGCATTTTATTGTATGGAATTTCATTTTGCTCATGCACACTTCACTTTTATTAGGGAATGTGGTCCTATAGCTCCTACGGAGCGCATATCGTAAATTTGTGCTTTGTCATGGCGGAAATTACTTCGTTTCCGCTACAAGACCGGAAGTAGGTGCCAAATTATTTTGTTTGTTCTGCTCGAATTTTATTTGGATTTGTTGCTGTTCCGTGTGCTTCGGAACACGGAAAATTTTTTGGCTGTACATCTGGTTAACTTCATAGACTTGCTGGTACAAACTTTTCAATTGCATGAGTACGAGTTTTGATCAGAATATACTCTGTGCATATGTTTTATATATCGCCTAAGTAGCGCAAATGTTCATGCATGTATGTAAGCCCTGTTGAAGCAATTAGATGGTTGCTTCTTAGCAAATTCGGAAGATATTGTGATTATCTTGGTAAATTGTTTTAAGCAAATATTGTGTACAACCGCAGGTGGAAAATGTATCATAAACATTTGCTGCATGGCAAGACATTGATAAAAAATTCATACACGGTTCCCTACATGTGGAGGAGGGAACCGGACGCATGAAGGTTGTGGTTTCTCTGTAACTTGGAATAGCAGTTAACAACTGCATATAAGGTTTGTTAAATTTACTAAAAGAACTATATTAAATAATTATTTTTCTAAAGAGCAAGTATAACGTATAGTAAAGTATTTAATATTACAGTAAAGTATAATGAGCAAAGAAACATTTTTGCTACATCTTCTTTGATAAAGAATATGTAAGATTTCTTTATTTATAATGCAACAATAGGTCCTTTTTTGTAAGCATATCGCAAAAGAACAACATAAAATAAGCACTACTTTTGATGGCAACTTTGGAAGCACTGGAAATTTATTTAGGGTTATGTATCTAAAACACATTATAAAATTTAGAAGTAAAGTTTCGAAAATGAATAATAATTCTTTGCAATTATGGGTAAAAATATTTTGTTCCTTACTTGATTGTGAATAAAATTTGTATTTTCAAGCCTTTTCAATAGGTCTTTTTTTTTGTAAGCATATCATAAAAGAACTAAACAACAACACTGCTGACTTATTTAGTCCAAACTTTTTGAAATCGCAGCTCAAACCGTATGGTTGCCAAGACTAAAAATGTATCTGTTGTGAACGATTTTTGGAAATACGTACAAGTTTTCCAGTTAACTGTCAACAAATATTTGACAAATAATACTCAATTCTCGTGAATCTCGTGAAAGCAGGAGCTTAAAAAATGTGTGGTACTGATTTGATCAGCTTGAATTTATTTAAAATGAACTTTTTAATTTCTATCCCTCTTTGCGTAGTTGTCAATGATATTGCAGAAATTCTCGCACACTCTCTAATACCATATCAAATTTAAAATCCTTAGTGAAAGCACTAAAATAATTCTGCTTTTCGGCTGGGACGCCTGGAAGTTTATGTAACGTATTCGCTATTAATTTTAAACTTATGTTAAACAGTATAGTATTTGCACTATGTATGTTATTGCTGAACGATCATTTTGGACAAGGACTTATGCACTATACCTACATGAAAATCGGTAAAAGTCAAGATTAGGAAAAACAAATGACACGATTTGTACGGTAGATTTACATTTAGGTTAGAAATTTAGCAATCGGACAATGACCTAAGAATCCATCAGTGATCTTAAAACCTTTGATGACAAGTACAAAATAAAAGTTCAAAGTAAAATATAATTAAATACCAACAAATGCTTGGTATACGTAGACAACTCATCAATAATTTTAGAAGAAGTTTTTATGTGGCACAAATCTTACTGAATGAACTTTAAGGATATTTTATACAAAAAATTAAAAAGTGCAAATATTTGTTTAGTTTTTTCGAAGTTCATACCTAAGCACCATTAAGTCCATTTTATCGAATAAGTAGTAGACCATACATATCATAATATATGGTTTGTCAAATACCTAGAAATTTTAAGACAATATATATTATAACAAAAGAAACACAAGAGCTAAAGTTGATATTTTACCTCATACAAGTGAAAAATAAAAATAAAGTATTTATATTGTAATAGAATAACCAAAATATAGAGTTACCTTGTATATGGTATTCGTAAGAACAAGACCAGATTTGAAATAATGTGAAACGGAAAAATTTATGATAAAATAAATTTCTGGTTTTCCTTATTCCTTAAATAAATTTCTTTCCAGGCTTACTTCGTTCACTTAAAAAATAAACAAAATTAAAGTTATATTGTGAATATTGTTAGTTATATGAATTTCAAATCTAAATAAACATAAGAGCAATAAACAAAGTTTAAAAATGTCAGCTTAGTATGAGAATTAGGGGCACGATTCCGATTTTTCGGACACCCTTATTTACCAACAGATTTTGGTGAAGACAGCTATTCTAAAGGACTTTTTCAACTACTATTTATTATTATTTAGTTTAGTTTTTTAAATAATAGGTTTTAAAATGAACAATTTTTATATTGAAACCATCAACATCAAGTAGATCCATAGATCCATCAATTGACTCGTCTACTTGTTGTTATCAATGTGAAATTGCATTTATTGGTTGATGTTAAATATTGTGTGTGGTTTTTACTAGTGTAATCAATGTGAGAAGTTTTTAAGTAGCATAAATGTGGAACCTCCGACGTGGTAATCTATTATTGACTATTTTTACTTTTATTAAATATTATTAACTTCTATTATTTAGAATTTAGAATAAAATATTCTAACAACTAGCAACTACATTTCAGCTGTCACAGACACAGGTACAGAGATTTTACTATTCAAAACGTTTTTGATGAACATATATTAGTAGGGGTATTGGCTATGTCTTGCCCACTCATTGCAAAGTGTACGAAATGCACTGATTGTGCGAGTTTGTAATCGACAACAACAAAATACACGCACAAAGGTTCTTGCAATTGCTTGCAATCTTCTTATATCTGAACCTCTTCTTATATCTGAACATTTATATATGCTTGCAACGAAAAAAGGAGGGGGAAAAGAAACTAGTGGTACTACTGCATAAACAGCTGTTTCATTTTGATGTTGCAGTTCTGCAACAGGGGTCTTGCACTCTTGCAATTTCAGTATAGAATTCTTGCAGTTCGTGCACCTTGTAATGAGCAAGGCAGACTGAACATCCCCGCTTTGGCATTACGAAGGTTATACTTATATAGATTATAAGCATTAGCTTACACTTTCATTGAAAAATTTGATATTATAGGGGCTGGCAACGATCTTTTAGCTTACCACAAACAAAAATCTCATTCAAAACCCATCGAAATGTTCATCACTTTTGTATTAAATTTAATTATTAACTTGCATGTGGTAGTGATTAACTGCTGTTTTTGATTTCACCACGAAAGAAATATAATAAAATAGTTTTCTACTACGAATTACAAGTAATAAAACTTTTTTTGAAAGACTTTTGTGCCGGACTAGCAAATATCTTTTAAACAATATGTCTTTCGTTTTTTGAAAAAACCAGTTAATTTACATGAGATTCAAGAAATCCAAGCAATCTCAAGTTAGTTAACTGATCTAATGAAGCCAGTGGAAACATACTATTACTTAGCAATCTCAAGTTAGTTAACTGATCTAATGAAGCCAGTGGAAACATACTATTACTTAGCAATCTCAAGTTAGTTAACTGATCTAATGAAGCCAGTGGAAACATACAATAACAGTGGTTGTTGATTGATTAAAACTATTGTAACTACAACAACTCAACAACGACTAGTAAAGTGGAATGAAGATTAATATTTATTTAATTTTAATTATTACAATGTGATCCTTGGATGAACGTAATATTCTTGAATAAAAAAAAATTATATTTTATTGTATTTTTTTTTAATTTCTAGTTAAAATAGAACTCTAGATGCATATCAACACGATACAATATATACCATAAACAAAGAATATTAAATTTTAGTGGATCACAAAGCTTTAATTATTGGATTACTGAATAATAAATAAATTACATTATACCTTGTAATAAATTAGTTTTTTTTTTAGATTGGATATACATCATACATTTCTCTTTTGAAACATGAGCGCAGCACTTTAAATTCGACTAATATCTGAATATGAAATGTACTTAGAATTGTTTTTAAAAAAAAAAAATTCTTTAGGATTTGTGTGCCAAATAAGTGTTTGCCAATAAATGCTACTTCGACTTGCCAAAAAGTAAGTCTAAACCAAAGGGCAATCCAGTGAACGAATTTACTCATGCACATAGTCTAATCACTGTTCTCTTGTGCATATTCCGATATGTAAGGCGCACATCTGCAGTAGGCGGGATGTGAACTAATACTAAACGCCTAAAATGCTGCCAAATTTAATTCAAGGAGTACTTTGCTCCATTTTCATGTCGGGTACGTCTGTTTCGATGTGTATCTGCGAAATTGCTTAGGCGTGTAAATAACTACAAACTCAACTGTCTCAGCTCAACTGGGTTTGCATTTGTGCGCTTGTATGGATTCTTGTTTGTTTTGCAGCATCAATTCGATTTAATGGTGTGGAAAATTAGTCAACGATTCGTTTTTCGTTTTGCATTTGAACTTTACATCTCAGCACAGAAATTGTGCAAAATTTAATTTTAGAAGTATTCCGTTTATCTTCTCAATTCTATTTTATTTAGCATTTTTGAAGCAGGATTTTCAAGCTCAAGAAATGTTTCAATTCGATTATTAGATATGTGATCTTTGCTGAACTCCTATTTCATTAACTGCCGTGACATTTTTAAAATTACTGAATCGTACATGTTAAGCAGTTAAATGCTTTTACAGAAATTCAATTATAATAAATAAATTTAGACAGCCGAAGTTAATGCAGGCATCTTGGAAAATGTCTTTGATATGATAAACGAAATAAAATAAAAATAAGAGATATGTTTAAAGTAAATTCGGCTTTTTCGGTAGTTTAAGTTAACTTAACTTAGGTTTCAATGAAAATATTGTACTTGAAAAGCATACTCATTTGTTTGAGAATAATATGGCAGATACATATATTAAAAACAGAACTAATAACATACCTACATTAAATGTTGACGATAGTATGTATAGCGTGACTTAGTGTTGCCACATCCGAAATATTACATCTGTCTGAACAGTTGATGGATGTTTTATGTAAAAAAATATTTGGAATTAAAACTTTAAATTAATTAAAATTTTTTTTTAATATCTTGAACCCACTTTACATACATTTTAGTTATGCTGATTTGGATATGGCCAACTAGTCTATAAGTGATTTTCGTTTATAAGTGATTTTGCTATAAGCGACATACGTGGCTTTCCTGGAAAAGGAATTTTCAAGTTTGAGATTTGAAAAAATTTTATATGGACCTATATCATATGAAAAAGATGCTTTTAGGCATGCGATGGCCTTTAAAGTAAAGTATAAAGTTATAGACAAGGTACAGTGCCACCAATTTACAAAAAAAATTATGGCGGTGTCTCCTGCTCACACATTTTGCAAAATTTAAACAATTAACATATATCACTAAAAGTTGTATGTGAGTATTTGGTAGTGATTGTTAGTCACATTTAAAATTATTAATTATACTGCGATATTTACGTTTTAATATACCAGAAAACATTTGTGGTGTGCAAAAACTGATAATGCTAGATCGTCATGCGACATACTGTAAAATTGAGGGAATCTGTGGGATGCTAGGTACCAGCATATATAAAATATTGTATGATCATTTAGCCGTAAGAAAGGTTTGCTCTCGTTGCCTCCCCCATACTTTAACAAAATCTCAAAAATACACTCGTGTCACTACATATCTTCATTTATTGAGTCTCTTTAATGCAATGGTTATATTGTGCATTGTGACTACTAGGCGTATGTTTTCTGTTAAGAATGAATGTCAGATGCCTAGATATATTCTCTTTGATTTAAAAGGGCTACTGTGACTATAGCACTTTGCCACTAACCGTTAAAGGAATTTCATATCTGTAGATGTTTTATGAGTATAATGCCTTGCAGGGATAATTTCCATTTTTTTAATTGTTGCTGTGCTTTAGGGTAGATTAAATTAAAGTGAATGTTTAGAATCAGACCTAAAATGTTATGCTAGACATCGCGGCTTAGTTCTAAAATAGTTCTATCTCACCGTATGTCTTAGGAGGATATCGGTATGCAATGATGAATACAGTTTTGTCTAAAAATGTTTGAATATTTGTTCATATGTTTTTAGGCCAATGTAAATTAAAATGGATAACATTAGTCTTAGATTGTGATGCTGAAAGTCAATATAAAAATCTTTTTTGCAGAATGCTGCTTGAGTCAAAGTTAAATTGTGGTTGAACAAATTTACTAGCTTGATTCATGGTTTCTCAGATCATCTCAGAAAATACTACTTCGAATCCATTTCAAGTACAATACACTTTATGAAAGAATATCTAAAGTTTTATTGCGACTTGTCAGAATATTTCTTGTTTGCAAAACATTTAATGTTGGTGGGTTGGTGCTTTATTTAACAATAAAAACAATTAATATCGCGCAGTAACTTAATTGTCTTAAAAAAAATTTATAATACAAGAAACGAGAAGGTCAATTATCAGCATTTATCAGAACCTGCTTTTACTATAAGTACTCGTTTTAGTCTTGAAAACTATCCACTAGAAATTATCGCAGAAATACATGATATAATTTCGGAAGGAAGTCGATCAAAAGCAATTGAAGTAGATGTTCTATACATTTTCGTAGGCACTTTATGTAGGCTGTACATTTTGTTCACTTTCCGGTTTCAAGAAGTTCGGAGTATAATGGACTTTGCATTCGGTGACAATGCACCACGAACATATTTCAATCTGATTTAATCAGCAAAGTGTAAAGAATTAAATAAATACGCATCGTTTTATTACTACGAATGAGAATTAGGTTCACAAGCATGATTTTGAATCGAAACGGGGCTTTTGGAGTCAGTTTTTGGAGTCCAAAATTAATTTTATTACTTTACCTAACTACCTTTAAACACGTAAAACAAAAATCTGATTTAAAGGAAAAAACATAGTTTTCATCAAGACAACTCACCTGCTCATACAGTTGAAAGAACCATCCATGAAATCAGGATATTGTTTGTTACAAATACTAGTCTAATTGTCAGATTTTATCTGTTTGACTTCTGTGTCAATTCACACCTTAAAAGATTTTGAGGTGTAGGTGTATATTTTACAGATTTTTTTATGA